GACTTTCTCGTTGAACTGGCAAATTTGTTTGCAAACGTTTTGTCACCATGCTAGGTAACGTAATCAGTGTGCTTCCGGTGAAGTGTCAGTGTTCTGTCCTGCTATACCAACCATTAAAAAACAAATCCGGAAGTAACGCCACCCACCCCGGCAAACCGAGACACATAAATAGCAAATGGGACAGAACACTGACGCTTCACCACAGGCGCACTAATAATGTTACCTTGCATGGTGACAAAACGTTTGCGAACAAACTTACCAGCTCAGTGAGCAAGTCGACCACCGTAACGATGCATACCTACATGCAGTCAGATGAGGATTCCCAGAAGTATGCTACAATTAATACCAATAAAGGTTTGTACCAATATACAAGACTGTCTTTTGAGATATCATCAACCTGTGCCATTTTTAGCGGACGATGGAGAACATTTTACAAGGTCTACCCCAGGTCGCCCTCTTTCTAAATGATATGCTTATAACAGGTAAGACCAATAAAGGACACTTAGAGAACTTTGACATAGTCCTGAGATGTTTCACCAAGCCGGGTGTAAGCCTAAGGAAGAAAAGATGTGTGTTCCAGGCACCCCAAGTGCTCTACTTGGGCTGCGGAGTTAACAAAACTGAGTCACACCCATTGGAAAATAAAATGAGATCAAGCAAAGGTACTCCAGCTCTCACATCTGTACCAGAGCTTAGGTCTTTTCTCAGATTGGTGAATTGTTACGGAAAATTAAATGTAACGTGGCCTCCATCCTGCCACCCTTACATTTGCTATTAATAAAAGGCCAGCATTGGAAATGGTCTTATGGCCAAGATGTAACCTTAGAGGAAGTGAAGAAGCAGCTGTCATCATCTAAGGTGTTGGCACACTGCAATCCCAAGCGAGATCTGGTGCTGACATGTGATGCCTCCCTGTATGGTACTGGGGTAGTGTTAGCTCACAGATGGCCCAGTGGAGAGGAAGCCCAATAGCGTATTCTTACCAGACTTTGGCTTTGGCAAATATGCCCAGATAGAGAAGGAAGGTTTGTCAGTCATCTTTGATGTGAGAAAGTTCCACCAATATGTTTACGGACATAAATTTGTCATAGCATCAGACCACAAACCCCGGCTAGGCCTATTCAAAGAGGACAAGGCTGTGCTGTCCATAGCTTCAGGTCAAATTCCGCAGTGTGCTCTCATTCTAATTGTGCACAATTACAAGTTGGAACACTGTCTGCATATGCAGGTGCCTTGAGACACATCCCACTGTCAGATACACCACTGGCAGTGCCACTACAGGAAGAGTCCATTCTGTTTTAAACCTTATGGACACCCTCTGGTCACCCCTGACAATGTCAGACTGTGGACATGAAAAGATTCCATCCTGGCAAAACTAAAACAGCTGGTGTTGTTGGGGGAAACAAAGGGGCCATCACAATCAGAATTGAAACTTTTCTGGATCCAGCAAGACCAGATCATCATAGAGGACAGCATTTTATTATGGGGGAGCAAGAGTAATTGTCCCAAGCAAAGGTTGCTGCCAGATACTGGCGGAACTCCACCAGGATCATCCAGGGGTGTCTAAAATGAACATATTGACGAGAAGTTATGTCTGGTGGCCAGGACTGAATGCTGACATCGCCGCATTGGTGGGGCAGTGCCCAGTGTTCCAACAAGGACAAAGATTACCGCCAGCAGCTCCCAAACATTCATGGGAATGGCCAGGTAAACCCTCCAGTCAGTTATGTGTTGACTATGCCGGCCTTTTCAGGGGATCAACATTCTTAGTCACTGAGGACACCCACTCAAAGTCGTTGGATGTGCATAGAGTTCATTCATCAAATATGGGATGATAATAGAAAAGCTGTGAGCATCTTTTGCAATACATGGTCTCCCGGAAGTGTTGGTCACAGACAAATTTACCAGCAGGGAATTCAAATATGTCCTAAAGTCGAATGGCATTTGGCATGTAAGGACAGCTCCATACTATCCATCATCCAATGGTCTGGCAGAAACAGCAGTCCAAATTTTGAAGGCAGGCTTAAAGTACCAGCCTACAGCTTCACTCGATACCAAACTGTCTGGTTCCTATTTGATTATTAGACTACCCCTCATGCAACTACAGGGATAGCTCCAGCAGAGTTGCTAATGGGACAAGACTCCACACCAGGTTAAATCTGATCTTCCCAGAGCTGGGAGGGGGTGAAATGGCATCAGGAATGCCAATACCTGATACAAGATTCCTCCACAAGAGAGACAGTTTACTTTAGGGGACAATGTTTGGCACTGAAATCACCGAAATGGCCCTGCATGTTTTTGAGGCTTGGTGGATGTGAAGTCAGGTTCCATGATGTACAAAGTTCAGGTAGGTGAGATGGTAGTGAACATGCATGAGGACCATATGAAAGCTGCAAACCCATAAAGAGGGCAGGAACAAAACATACTCGGCCCTTCAGAAAGGTGGGTTCTCCTCCCCTGTCGCACATTGAACAAGTCTGGGATGGACACAGCCGATGTCACAGTCTTGGCACCTTTACTGCCTGAAAAAGACGAACTTTTGCCAAGACACTCCAGACGCTAGAGGCGGGCTACGTTCTGTATCTGCAGTTGAATGGAGGAACCAGACCTGGTGCAAAAATGCCCCAGGAGAAGCTACCAGAAAAAGAACAGGCCAACGTCCCTAGACTTAGAGGGGTATGAATATATGGTTGTAACAAGATCAGCCAGTCGGATATCATGGATTATGAGTTCCCTGATTGGCGCTGTTAACCTGGTCTAATCCGGGAGCACTGGCTGACACATGTAAACGGGAGTCATGGATTCTGCTCACTCTAAGGAAGCTGGATCAGGAGTCAAGGACTCTTCATGTGTAAATAAAGGGTGATTAGGTGACAGGATGCTGACCTCTGTTGAGCTATTTCAATTGGTCCCGAAGTGATCTCTCCCTGTGTGTCTAGTCCCTGAGTGATAAAGTGACCACTCCATGTTGTGTCTAGTCCCTGAGTGTAAGAATGACCACTCTATACGTGTCTATTCCCTGAGTGACAGAGTGACCTCCCCCTACGTATCTAGTCCCTGATTGAGAGTGTGACCTCTCTTTTGCGTCTGGTCCCGGAGTGAGAAAGTGACCACTCGGCGTGCCTAGTACCTGAGTGACAAAGTGACCACTCTATATGTGTCTCGTCTCTATGTGACAGACTAACCACTTCCTGTGTATATTGTGACCGGTCCCTGACTGTTTTCAGTGAACTCGCAGCGTTTATGATGAGACGTGGTCCATAAACCAATAAGATTCGTGTGTGAGGGGCCCGCGCGGACTGGGTGTGGTTGGAGCGCGAGCGCGCCCAATTCTCGGAGAGAACGTGCTGCGGGTTCACGGCTGCACCCGCGAGAGCGCCAACGGGAGCGGGGGCGCGGCTTGAACGGCGGTGCGTGGGTGACCGAGCTGGGGGAGAATGATCGAGCGGCCCGAGGCTGGGGGAGGCGTCCCGGTGAGTGATGGAGCGGGAGGCAGGGGACGCGGCGGAGGCCCAGACCTAGCTCGAGGCACAAAACTAACCCCTTCACCCATCCAGGGCCACCCCCGGACCGACCGAGTGTCAGAGCCAGACTCCACGCGCACATACACTACCACACCCACACCCACACCCAGACCCCAGACCCCAGACCTCACACCCCACACCCCACACCCCACACCCATAGCCAGGGCCAGACCCACTCCTCACACCCAGACCCAGAGCCAGGGCCAGACCCACGCCCCACACCCAGAGCCAGAGACAAGCCCACATAGAATATCACTCCCAGATCCAAGCCTACGCAGGATATCACTCCCAGAGCCAGACCCAACCCCAATTCCAGACTCAACTAGATCCTAGCCCCACTCCACTGTTACACAGTGGCAGATCTGTCCCCATCACCACTATATTTCAGTGTTGTGCCATGACGCATTGTTTTCATTAGTGCTGTTTCACCAGTGTTATACCAACTGTGTATGGCAGTACCAGATCCTAACTGTTATACAGTGGCTGACTGTGTGCGGCAGCACTGGATCCTTACTGTTAGAGTGGCCATCCTGTCTCCATCATTACTGTGTCCCCAGTCGTGTAAAAAGACAGATTGTTGCTGCCATTACTGTTCCCTAGTGATATTCAGTGGCAGACAAGTTCCCATGATTAATGTACCCCTTGTATGATAGTGACAAGGCCCTTCCGCATTCTCCTCAGCTTGTACTGATAGACCTGTCCCCACCAGTACTGCACCCTCAGTATTATACAATGACATATCTATTCCCAGTAGCACGGTACTCCAGTATTATACAGCAATAGTCCCCACTCCTCCAGTACTGCACCCACGTGTTATTGACAGACTTGTCCCTATCATAGAATCATACATTACAGCAGAGGCCTTTCAGCCCATTGACTGCATCAACAGAATCGACACTTAATCTACCCTAGTCCCACTTTCCAGCATTTGATCCATAGGCTTGAATATTACGTTATTTCAAGTGCTCATCTGTGTACTTTTTAAAATGTTGGGAGGTTTCTACTACTGTTGTAGGCAGTTCATTCCCAATTCCCACCATCATCTGGAGGGAAATCTTTTCCTCTAATTCCCTGTAAACCTCCTGGCTTTCTCCTTAAAATTATTCCCCCTTGTTCTTGACCCTTCAACTAAGGGGAACAGCTGCTTTCTATCCACCCTGTTCATTAGGTGTCCAACGCCTTATACAGCTCTGACATAACCTCCTTGCTGTTATAAGTTATGCCACAACTTTGCCTTAACTACCTTATTGACCTGCCCTGTACCTTCAAATAAGTACCCCAGGATCCCTCTGTTCCTCTGAGTTTCCTAGTGTCCTGCCATTCATTGAGTACTCCTTGTCTTGTACTCCTTACAACGTGCATCACTTTATATTCATCAGGCTTAAATTCCATCTGACACTGAACTGCCCATCTGACCAAGCCACCTATATCCCTCTGTTCTCCTGTAATGCAAGACCTTTTTCATCATTGTCAACCACCCAGCCAATCTTTGTGTCATCTGCACACTTACTTATCACCACCCCCCATTCTCATCTACATCCTTAATGAATATCACAAACAAGGGGCCCAGCACTGATCCCTGTGGTACACAGTTGGACACACTGGCCTCCTGTCATATGAACAGCCTTTTACTACTATCCTGTCTCCTGTCACCAGACCGATTTTAGATCCAACTTAATAAAAACCGAAAAAACTGCAGATGCTGTAACTCAGAAACAAAAACAGAAATTGCTGGAAAAGCTTAGCAGATCCGGCAATGTCTGCAGAGAAAAATCAGAGTTAATGTTGCGGGTTGAGTGACCCTTCCTCGAGTTCTGACCCAAACATTAACTTTAGTTTCTTTCCACAAATGCTGTCAGACTTGCTGAACGTTTCCAGCATTTTCTGTTTAGATTCAACTTGCCAAGTTATCATGGATCTGAAGTGCTTTGACCTTCTTTATCAGTCTTTTATGTTGGACCTTGTCAAAGGCTTTGCTGAAACAAGATAAACTACAACAACTGACTTACCCTTATCTACACACCTGGTAACTTCCTCACAAAATTCAGTACTGTACCCCATTGTTATACAGAGACAAATCTGTTTCATTCTGTACTATACCCCATTGTTATACAGTGACAGACCTGTTCCCACTAGTACGCTATCTGACCTAACTCTATCATACCCCACACATACAGTAAACCGGTATAGCTTATTGTCAGCCAACATTGTACAGTGAGAGATTTATTATCATCAGTCCCATGCCCCATTCTTATATGCTTTGTTCCCAGCAGTGCTGTGTTATACAGTGCCAGTCCTGTTCCCACCAGCACTGTATCCCAATGTTATAAAATGACGGACAACTCCCCACCAGGACTGTACCCCTGTGTTATACAGTGACAGACCTATCCCAATAGAGGCCATCAACCGTGTTGGTTTTGAAAAGCTAGTTTCTCTTCCATTTTCTATGTTGGCCTGAGGGAGGACTCTCTATTCTTCTTCTATCAGCATCCCCGTTCTCTGGAGGGATACGTTGGATTCGCAAATCTCCCAAATCAAGTATACCGCAAGTCAGTGAAACGGGGATTTGAGTTCACGCTAATGGTTGTGGGTGAGTATTGGGGCTGGTATTTGGAAATTATTCCCTTTACTACGTTTTGTGAAATCCGGTATTGGCAGAGAGAATCAGCAGCAGTACATACTCACTAAGTGCCGATGGCCAGGGTGAAGGGCGCTTGTGTTGTCTGAAGGGTGAAGGTGGGGTTATTTGAGGGCCAAAATCCTCAGGTTGAGCGAGGAAGTGAGTGAGTAAGAGTATCAGGTTTCTGTGAGGATGCAGAGGTTGGGGTTAGAGGGTGCTGGTGCACAAGTGAGGGGCATGATGTTCGGTTGAGGGGGCACTGCTCTCAGAATATGGACTGAATGGACCAGGAGAACAAAGTCGGGTTGTGTGGCACGGTATAATGGATTGGAGAGCAAGTGTCATGATGATTGCCCCTTCTGATGTTGGCTGTGTCGTAGGGAAGGTTGATTGGGTACAGGTGTCATAGGGCTGAAGTGGCGGTGACAACCAGAAAAGAGGATTTTAGTACTTTGTCCATTTGATCGGAGCTGAAAAGCTGTAGAGATATCTTCCAAAAGGCAATGTTGAGGACTTCAGAAAGTGGGCTCAACCGAGGTATATGTGAATGATGGATGGTTGCAGACCTGTAGTTGTGAGAATGACGCAGGACTCCCAAGAAAGAGTGATACTCTCCAAGCAGGAGTGGCTGCAAGCAGCACCAGCTGTAATGCCTTTGGCAGTTATCATCTTTGTGGCACTATGTCAAATGCCTTCTGGAAATCTAAGTGCAGTGTGTCCACTGGTCGTCCTTCATCTATGTTTTTTGTTTGTTCCTTAAACAATTCTAATAAATCAGTTAAACATGATTTCTATTTCACAAAACCATGTTGATTCTGCCTAATTGCATTAAGATTGTCTCAGTGTCCTGCTGTAACTTACATCCTTTGACTGATGTTAGACTAATTGGCCCATAGTTTCCCATTTTCTGTCTCCTTCCCATCCTTTTCTCGAATAGAGGAGTAACATTCACTATTTTTGAATCTAATTGTTTGGTAGTACAGAACTTGAGGAAAAAGACACCCTTTTTTGCAGCTTTTTGTCTTGTGCTCGTCAAGACAATTTGTAAGAAATATCAATTCACGGAGAAAACATGTTGAATGAGGGAAGAGTTCTTGTTGGTTGGCAAGTGAAGTCTGATTGGTAGACTCTAGAATTTGATTCACTCTTCCTCAAACTAATTCAGAAATTCAATCATATTATTATCACTGTTTTCTAGCCTTAACTATGAAGTCATTAATGAATCCTGTCTCATTGCATATTCTCTCTGGTTCACTGTGGAACATCCTGCTGTAAGAAACTGTCCCAAAACACCTCTTGAATGTATTATCTGAGCTGTCTTTGCTAGTCTGATGCATCCAATCTATATATAGATTGAACTCCCCCGTGAACAAAGAGACATTGGACTGCAGGTCCATAGTTCCTTGGAAGTGCAGTCAAAAGTAGATAGGATAATGTAGAAGGCGTTTGGTACGCTTGCCTTTATTGGTCAGTGCGTTGAGTATAGGAGTTGGGAGGTCATGTTGTGGCTGGACAGGACATTGGTTAGGCTGCTATTGGAATACTGCATTCAGTTCTGGCCTCCCTGCTATAGGAAGGATGTTGTTAAACTTGAAAGGGTTCAGAAACGATTTACAAGTATGTTGCCAGGTTTGGGGGTTTGAGCTATAGGGAGAAGCTGAATAGGCTGGGGCTAATTTTCCCTGGAGCATCAAAGGCTGAAGGTTGACCTTATAGAGGTTTTATAAAATCATGAGTGGCATGGATAGGGTAAATAGCCAAGGTCTTTTCTCTGGGATGAAAGTCCAAACCAAGCGAGCAGAGGTTTGACATGAGAGGGGAAAGATTTAAAAGGCACTTAAGGAGCAACTTTTTCATAGAGCATGATGTGTGTATGGAATGAACTGCCAAAGGAAGTGGTGGAGGCTGGTAATATTACAACATTTAAAAGGCAAAGGGTCTGTTTCCGTGCTGTCCATCTCTCTGACTGTGATTATTGTCGTACCTTTCTCACAAGTCTCTATCATTTTGTCTTATATATCCCATTCTACAATGTGGTTGCTGTTAAAGAATGACAGGAGACTTCAAACCTTTACTAATTCTTCTATCTGACCAAACTGATTCTAAATCCTGATATCTAGAACAAAGTTGTTTCTTTATTCTACCAATGCCAACTTTAATTAAATGAGCCACCTTTCCAACTTTTCTCCACTTCCTTTCCCGTCTAAATATCACATAGCCTTGAATGTTCATTTCCCAGTTTTTGCCCTCTTGCAGCTATATCTCTAAAGGTTATCAAATCATATATATTTATTTTAATTTGCACTGTCGATTCATCTGTTTTTTTCGAATGCTACACACATTCAAACACAGATTCTTTAGTCCTGTCTTTTTTACTATTTTTGGAATCTCTACTCCTACTTACTCTCTGTCTTAGGTTTGTATGCTTGTTCATTTCTGTCACACCCTGATCACCATTTCCCTTATTTCTCTCGCCTCTTCATCTCTATTTAACTTACCAATTCTTCACAAATTTGAACCCTTAAACCCTCTAGTTAAAAGCCTGTTTTTCCCTGCACTATTTGTCAAACTGACTAGAACACTGATCTCATTATGGTTCAGCTATAGACTGACCCAGTTTCATCTTTTCCCAGTGTTGGTACCTATGCCCTCCCAATTGAAACTTGTCTGTGAGCAAAATTGAGAGTTTGACAGGCTGGATGCAGATGAGTCTAGGAGCAGAACATAATCTCAGAGTAAAGGGTCTTCCATCAGAGGGTGGTGAATTTGTGGAATTCTTTCTAGTCATTTTGTATATTCAAGGCTAAGATAGAAGGGTTTTTAAAGAGTAAGGGAATCCAAGGTTATGGGAGGAAAGGAACATGAAGTTGAGGATTATCGGATCAGCCATGATATTATTGAAATGGCAGAGCAGCACTGATATCCTTCTGCTTCTATGATTGTGTCTTGCTCCTGTAGTTTTGCGAAAGGGGACTCTGAGTTCTCTTCCAGTTGTAGAAACCAGATTTGACCAATTCCTTAACTAATTCTTTTCAAGTCCTTTCCAGCAGACAGCTTGTTTATCTTTGCTGAAGCCTCAAAATCATGAGTTAAACAGTACATTTCAGTTAAATGCTAAATCCAGCTAGATTTTAAAAAGGCGTTGGCCTGGATTTTCCAATTGTCTAATGCCTTAGTAAGTATTCAAACTTGTCTTCCTCCCACCAGTCCCTCACTCCCACTGAGCTCCTTAGCTCATACACCCCAAACTTTACATCCCCAAACGTTCAATAACTGACAGACTCTGACCTGACTACTACTGGGATGTGAGCCCTGCCTAATCCTCTTTCCTCTCCCCGCTTCCCCCTTTCCAAAACCTGAACCCGAGCCTGCACCCTCACCTGCACTGGTTCCAGTCCCTCCCTGCCTCCTTTGCCAGACTTGATTTCTCTCTCCCTCCCACCCACCCTGAACAACTCTTGACTCTGTGTGAGCCACGTTTCCGTAATAGCTAGGTTATCCCAGTCCAATGTTCCCACCATGCCCTGAGTTCATCTGCCTGGCCCATTAAACATAAAGATTCCCTGTCTCCCCAAGTTCCTGTTCTCTGTCACGAGCCAAACTCCTCCTCCATTAATCCTGTCACTAAAAACTGGACTGTGTAGTTGTCTTAAGAGGAAAGATTGAACAGGCTGGGCTATTAACAGCTAGAGTTTAAAACAGTAAGAAGTGACTTGCTTGAAATATTTAAGCTCTTGAGGGATCTTGACAGGGTAGATAAGGAAAGAATGTTTCTTGTGGGAGAATCTGGAACTAGGGGGTCACTGTTTGAAAATCGGATATTCCCCATTGAAAACAGATGAGTGTTTTATTACTAGAAGTTGAGTCTCTTTGGAACTCTCTGAAGAAGAATTTTGTATATTTTTAAGGCAGAACTGGATTGATTCTTGTTGAGAAAGGGAGTGAAAAGTTAATGGGGCTAGGCAGAAATGTGGATATGAGTTTATGATCAGATCAGCCATGGGCTTTTTGAATGATGGAGCAGGGAAGGTCGTAGAAGCGGATATGACGGTAACATTTAAGAGGCATTTCGACAGATACATGAGCAGGCAGGGAATAGCGGGATGTGGACCATTTGCAGGTAGATGGGATTAGTTTAGAATGGCGTCGTGGTCGGCACGGAGATGGTGGGTCTGTTCCTGTGCTGTACTATTCTACGTATTGTATAATAGCATTTTAATGTAAACTATTATATCGTCAGTGACCCTGAAAGTTGGCAGGTCTTTGAGGAAAATCCAACATCTGCTGTATTTCCTTTATTTTACTGATTCTTTGCCAATATTTAAATCGGTGAGTCAAGCACAAACTGCCTCCCATATTCCTCGCATTAGCCCCAGATGTCAAGTTTTCACTCACATTTACTAGTGTTCTTAACTTAAATTTCACCAAGTTGACTAAATGGACTGTAACTTCCTGAGATCTTGTTTACCCCTTCCTTGAGCAATTCTTGTCTGTCAGTCTTTTGGTACAATTCCCAGTTCCAAACATTTTTTAGAAAATTTATGGTTACCATCTTTATAATTTTCCCTCAAACCAAATAGAGAAGGATGGGCAATCTTGTATTCAGATTAGTATCTTTTACCACATCAGGCCATACCCAAGCACTTTTCAGCTAATTAAGTATTCTTGAAGTGTAGTCACTATTGTAATGTTCAAACCCTGGCAGGGAATTTACACACAGCAAGAGCCTATAACTGTGACGTGTATTAATTGTAACATTCTGTCATAATGCTACTTGTTCAGATTTTAGTGGTTTGTTGCAGGATAGATATTCACCAGAACACCATCCTGAGATGGATATTTTTGAAGACAGGCTATTTTCTTATTTTTAGTTTCAATATTTTTATACTGATGCTCTATTTCTCTGGCAAGTTTCCTAGTGCCTTATTGGCTCCATCCTCTGTAAACCTGAGCCAAATATTTAAGAACTG